GCAGGATCTCTTTTTCTTTTGTATGTATGGCTCTGTGGCAGGAGCTGACTTTCTATGCACCCTCTGCTTTAACATTTTGGATTTAATTGGTTTCACTGCTATAGTGAACTTGTTGGTTAGAGTCTACATATTTGTATATACAATTTTGGATTTAATCTATTTTACCTGTATATTTCAATTATGGAAGAATTTTTCACATTGGCTGGGGGCCTATCAGAACAGGCAGAGACATGGCAATATAGTGAGGAAGATGCTGATCGGATAAGATGGACAGCATCTACCTTTGAATTACCTAACACCACGTCCCTTAGGGTTGTTTATTTTGAACTATTGAGGCTAAGAAAACGGGAGACTGACCTGGACTTGCATGGATTGTTCCTTTCTGAGTACCATAGGAAACTACAAATCCCTAGGGGGTTTCGGATTAAAAATATCCCTACGATTGGCCGGCTTAAGCCACAAGTGTGTAAGCGCTGGATTGCGGTACTCAATAAATGTTCATTAGATTTGATGCTGATCATTATCGAGGATGTTAAGGAGGATTTGATTCATGTCAGAAGAAGAATTGCTGAATTAGAAACGACACAAGCGATTCTGTTATCATCATCTGAGGCTGCTCCCACATTATTAAAATTAGAAGACAACATTAAGAATTACAAAACAGACTTGATCAGATTTAAAAGAGAAAAACAAGCCAAAGTATTAGCTGATTACAAAGAACATCGTGTTTACAGATGGCTGAGTGGGAAATCTGAAGTACCATATTTTATCAAGAAACGAAGACCCATCCGCAAACATAGGCAGTACACAATAAATAAAACATCGGGGGAATCTACCTCTGATTCTGAACCTGTACTGGAGTCATTTTCAACCAATCAACCTAGGAGTACAGTGGGTATAACACAGCCTTTTTTAGACACTGCAACAACAGACGGATTGGGGATATGGACCAGGTTTCGGAGCAGACACGGAGCACCAGGAGGAGACACACTACTAGACTGGGCCAAAAGGGGCGTACCTTCTGGGGCAAGAGGGAGGCCACCTCGATACCAGATATAGTTCCGATCTTCAATCTATCCTCCAGACCACTTACTTTGGATGAGACATCTCTGTTGAGTAAGGGATTATCCTTTGTTCCCACCTCTGGACCTAATGCTCAGGAGTGGGAAGTTGAACTATACAAATTTGGTTGCTCATTGAGACTTAAAGATTTTTTTAAATCCAAATCAGTAGAAAGCTCCAATCTGAGCCATACATTTAGGTCCAAAAGCACGTTTGATCCAATGCCCAACCAAGCCTCTATTAAATCTTTCCTACGATCAGTACTACTAAGAGACTACTGATTTTTTAAACAAGAAACATCAGTATCATTCAAATTGCACTAAGAAAGATCTGGCTATCATTAAATCTTTGGCAGAAGATAAAAAGATTGTAATCAGACCTGCGGATAAAGGAGGTGGAATTGAGATCCAGAATTATTCTGAATATCGCCTGGAAATTCTATCACAATTATCTGATGACTCCACATACGAGAAATTGGATAAGGATCCTACAGATGAAGTTATACATCTTATAGACAATTGTCTCATAAGAGGATTACATTCCAACTACATACCCATGGAACTATACCAATATCTAAAACTCTCCACTCCTAGGACCCCGGTACTATATACGTTACCAAAAATACACAAAAATAAGGATAGACCCCCTGGTCGACCCATTGTATCAGCAGTAGGGGGAGTTCTGGAACCTTTAGCCAAGTGGCTAGATTTTCTGTTCAAGTAACCAATTGGTCATTTAACAACATGTATAAAGGACACTCCCAGCTTTGTCAAGCTACTTTCTGAAATTGAACTACCTGCTGAACCAGTGGTTCTTGTGACATGTGACGTATCAAGCCTATATACGGTTATACCACATCACGAAGGTATAGAAGCTATGAGATCAATACTTTCCTGCTCTATACACTATTCAGGACCTCCAATTGAGTTTATATTGGAACTCTTGGAAATAGTACTTTCTCAAAATTACTTCAGGTTTGAGATGGATTGGTACAGACAGATTGCAGGGACTTCAATGTGTGCGGCAATGGCACCTATGTATGCCAATGGCTATATGTACTGCTATGAGACCAGTCATATATTGGAACCTTATAAGGACTATATCCTTCATTATGTCAGATATATCGATGACATCTTTATGCTGTTTAAAGGCTCTATATTGGAAGCAGAAGACATGATTCGGTGCATTAATGCCTGCACAAACAACATTAAACTTACAGCAGTATTGAACCCGAGTACAGTTGACTTTTTAGACATTAGAGTCCTACGTGAAGGGTCAGGCTTGGCTTATACGCTATTCTCAAAGCCCACGGATCGAAATACCATTCTACAGGCGAATAGTTTTCATCCACAGTCTTTAAAAGATTCGTTGCCCTATTCACAGTTCTTGCGAGTTCTGAGGAATAACTCCGATTCAAATCGCGCACAGGAACAATTGGATATGATGTGGGATACATTTCGACAACGTGGATACACTAGTCAGACTCTATCCAAAGCACTTAACAAGTGCCTTGATACAGCAAGAATCCCTAGTCCAAAGACATCGACTAACAGATTGATCTTTCCAACTACTTTTACCACAGCATCCTCTAAATTTAAACAGATCATTGAGGAGAATTGGAGGGTGTTAAGAAATGATGTCACACTACCTCCCATATTTTAGAACCCTCCCATGGTCTGTTATAAGAGGAATAAAAATTTGAGAGATTTGTTGGTTAATACTGACCCTTTCCATTGCTACTCTAAGGAAGCTGTCCCACAAAATTTAGGATGTTATTGTTGCCTCGGGTGTGTTACCTGTGGGCATATGATCCCAGGGAAAACATTCTCACATCCCCACACAGGGGCCAGTTTTTGCATTCGTCACCGTCTGACTTGCACAAGCGATTACGTAGTTTAACATACGTGGGTAAAACGGATTTACCCCTGAGAGAGAGAATCCGAAACCATAGATCGAGCATCAGAACGGCTTATAGGGACAATAAGTCAGAATTGCCGGTAGCGAAGCATTTTTTAGAACTTGGACATTCTTTGCCTTCCATGAAATTGATGGCGATTGACCATGTTCCTGTGCCGAGAAGGGGTGGAGATCGTAAAAAGTTGCTCCTTCAGTGGGAGCTGTTCTGGATTAGAACATTACAAACTGTATATCCAGATGGACTCAATGAAAAATATTAATTATCTGCTTTTTTGTAATATGTCATGTTCTGGAAGTGACTAAGATGGCCCGCCCTGGGGGTCAGCCACCTAGTCCTTAGTCCAGATTTATATTGTTTCCTTTTAGTGCCACTTTTGGAGTTAACCATCTAAAAAAGATCTATTGCTGTTTAATATATAGGCTGTGGGTACATGGCATGTAGGAGGTTAATATCCACTATAATTGTTTGGGCTGCTGCAACTTCTCTGTATGTAGCCGGTCCATAGACCCCCTTTTCTTGCCTTTCTTTGCCTTTTGGTTATTATGGTACAGTGAGGTTTCTTGTGATTATAAGTTCTGGTTTGGTTTTTGATCTTTTATGCTGTGAAGTCATGATAAAATATATCTTGGAGCTGGATTATTACCCATGACAGGTCTGTTCTATGATTTTTGCTGTATTACAATTTAGATAACAATATATGCACCTTTTGTTACAGCCCGTGGACCATCAAGTATTTGTAAGTTCTACTGTACCTTTAAATAAGGTTAGGTACTTATGGCACCTATATTGGTACATATCAAAGTAATGGGCAATGCAGTCTTGAGCTTTAATTTCTTTGATGTATACATATTCTTGAGTTATACTAATATTCTCTTAATGTTGATCCACAATGAGTGCTAGTGTGTTTCTCTTGTGATGTTTATTAACTTTTGCCCTTTGCAATGCTGTTGCTTAGTTGTGCCCCCTGGTCTTTACTTATGTGATTTGTTTTTATATTACTAGTTGCTAGGAAGCTTTTTCTCTCCTAGCAACTAGCTCCCAACGATTTTGCCGGTCGCCCGATCACGTGATGACGTCATGACGCCGGCGTCACGTGATGACGTCATTGATGTGCGTCCGGACGCCGGCCGAACCCACGTGTGAGACAGACTGTGCTGAGAGGGAGGAACAAGTGTTTTGGTGTAGGGTAAGTTGATTAACAATTTGTATTTTACTATATATGTTCATTATGACTGTGTTTGTATTAATCCTGATGAAAGTCTGGTATTAACAGACTGAAACGTCGATTTTTGTAATAAGCTATTAAAAGGTAAGTTTTATTTTTCCTATATAGTCCTGAGAGTGCTATCCCATTTTTTCTTTCTGTATTGTGCTGGACAAGCACCGGACATTGGAACTTTTTTGCATTTGATGGAGTGCAGGATCTCTTTTTCTTATATATATATATATATATATATATATATATATATATATATATACCTATTTATACATACATATTTAAACTCTACAAATATATTCATATAATATTTTTACATAATTAAGTCATTTTTTAATTACAATTTGAGGGAGCTGCCTGACAACTCAGGCAGAAAGTCCAGAGAATTTGGTTCGCAAGCCCTATATTTAACCTTGTAACTTTCCATGACATCATAAAACCTGTATATAGGGTTTCTGTTTTACTCAGGAGACTTTGCTGAACACAACTATTAGTGTTTCAAAACAGTAAAACATATCACAACAATGATAACGACAGTGAAAGTGCAGATTTTTGCATTTTTCACACACAAACGGCATTTTCACTGAAGATATAATTGTTGTGATACGTTTAACTGTTTTGAAGCATTAATATTTGTGTTTGACGGAGTCTCGCAAATAAAAAATGTACCCCCTCATGTACAGTTTTTAAAAGTTAGAGTCAAATATAAGGCTTTCATTTCCTTTTTTTTTTATTGAAATTTGCCACTCTGGTTATGTTGCCTTTGAGACCGTATGGTAGTGCAGGAATGAGAATTATCTCCACGATGGCATACCATTTGCAAAAAAAGAAAACCCAAGGTATTGCAAATGGGGTATGTATACCCTTTTTTAGTAGTCACTTAGACACGAAAACTGGCCAAAATTAGCGTTCAAATTTGTTTTTTGCATTTTTCACACACAAACAAATATGAACGCTTACTTTGGCCAGTGTTTGTGACAAAGTGGCTACTAAAAAAGACTGGATATACCCCATTTATAATACTTTGGTTTGTTTACTTTTGCAAATGGTATGCCATCATGGGGGTAATTTTCATTCCTAGGCTACCATTTGGTCTCAAAGGCAACATAACAAGTCTGGCAAATTTCAATGTGTATAAACTGAAAAATGTAATGCGCTATATTTTACCACTATATATTTTACACTGGCCAAATATAATTTTTTTGCTTTTTTCACACAAAAACAAATATGAACGCTAACTTTGGCCAGTGTTTGTGACTACGTGGCTACTAAAAAAGACTAAACATACCCCACATTCAATACCTTGGGTTGTCTACTTTTTCAAATTGTATGCCATTATGGGGGTAATTCTCATTCCTTGGCTACCACACCATCTCAAAGGTAACATTACTAATCTGGCAATTTTCAATTTGAAAATGGAACCTTCTATATTTGACCCTGTAACTTTCCAAAACACCATCAAATCTGTTAATGGGGGGTACTGTTGTACTCGTGAGACACCGCTGATTACAAATATGGGCATTTTTTTGCAGTAATACCTAACAGTATTATGACATTTACAGCTAAAATGTGAGGCGGAACTACATATTTTTTTTTAAAAAAATGTAAGATTTTTCAGTTTTTTTAAATTTTATTAATCATAAATTATGTTTCATATATAAATATTTGATATGAAATGAAAGCCTTGTTTCTCCTGAACAAAATTATATATAATAAGTGTGGGTGCATTTAATATGAAAGAGGTGAATTACGGTTGAACAGACATATAGCACAAATTCCAGTTTTTGTTTACTTTTTGTTTTGATCAGAACGTGTACTATTGACTCCATCCTGAAGGGGTTAAATGCTTCATTACTACAATCTTCCATTTTAGCACCCTTCCAGCCCACACACTGTTGGTACAGTCTTGTTTTTACATCTAAAAAAATAGCTATTACAAGTCACAGAAATATGCAATATAAGTGGGGGGTTTATAAAAATCTTCAATGCTTTGTGCTCTCATGTGTCTTGAGTATATAATGTTACATTTGTAAAAGATTGAGCTGCATCAATATTGCAATACTATTGGAAACAACAGTTCTAGTCGTTATCCATTAACAGCAAGCTGGTTGAAAAGTCATATATTTGAACAACATTTTGATTAAAGTTAAGGTTTTAGAGGGGTTAACATATAGATCTTGGTGTTAAATTGGCTTAAAGCTTGAGTGGGATTACAGTTATGGTATAAGGGGTATTTGGGTACAGGGGATGTTTAGGATTATTGAGTTTAAAGTTGAGTTAAATTTAGTACAGGGTGAATACACGGTGAGTTAAGCTCGGATCAAGGTAATGGGTTTATTCAAGTTTAGTGTTTAAGGGCTTCTGCAGGAAAGTCAGCTTTCTACGATTGATTGTTGAACTGAAGTAGCAGTGTGCATCACTGGATGCTGTCCATGCTGTTCCTGCAAGGCATTTTCTGTGTGAGTGGCTATGGGCAGATGTGAAGTGACAACTTCCACTTCCTGTCCAGTCTTACAAACATATAATGGACAGCACTGCATATTACCACCTCTATAATTGCTTATGCAGCTCTGCTGTCACGCAGAGGAGGCTGACTGGACTGCAAAGGGCAATAGCAAAGGTTGCTTGTCTACATATCTCTCTCCCCATAAGCCTACTTGGCTTCCAAAAACCATATGTGCCAAAAATGACTCTTGCAGAACAGGTGCCTATAGGCAGCTGCCTACTATGCCTAATAAGAAATCTGGCTTTGGATGACTATCAACAAGTGTAATTAGTAGAAAATAATAAAACAAGTGTAATTAGGAGAAAGTTGGAAGTTGTGATCATCACAACAAACTCACATCACAAGCATGCTCTTTTTTCTTCAATCACTTCATCTTTGGGCAAAAGCTAATGTCATTGTGTTTTTTAAACCTACAAGCTCTCATAATAAATCACTAAAACAGTAGCATAGTGGGGCGTGGCTTGGAGGCCAAGAGACATGGTGGCTTAAACCTTGTGCTCCCCGCAGGCTCTGCACAATACCTCATCACATGCTTTCAAAACCTGCAAAATGGGTAAAATGCACCGTGTCTCCCATGCTGGTAAGCCCACCGACACATCTAAGGGGGCTCTGGCTTCCTCGCTCCGCAACTCCCTGATAACCCCGGCGGACCTGGAATTACAGGCCTAAAACGAATCCGGGGCTTCGGGTGTCTCATGCCCACCCTCCCCGAACGCAGAGCGGCACCCTGAGATGCCACACATCCAACCCCATACTGAGGAGCAACCAGAATGGGTAGCACTGATACGTGCACTACCCACCAAAGCAGACCTAAGGGAGGCTAACGCAGAGCTCCACAACTACATTACTACAGAGCTCCACTCCCTCAGGGAAGATTTCCAGTGCCTACATCAGAAGATCTTCCAGCTAGAAGCAGACTACGACCACCTGTTCTCAGCACCGAATGCCAACACAGGCACCCTGCAGCTGCACGAGGCCCAGCTCCGCCAAATGACCCTTCACATGGATGATTTGGACAACAGGGGGCGCAGACAGAACATAAAGATCAGGGGGATACCGAGGACTTAGACCAACTTTAGAACTCTTTAATAAACTACTAATAAACTACTCGGGCACCCAAGTACTGCCCCATCGAACTTGTCAGGGCACTGAGGCCTAGAGGCCCACCGGAAACACCTTAGAGAGATACCATATGCTGTTTGGCCAGTTTACAGTTAAAGGAAGATGTCCTGCGAAAAGCCTGGGACACTGATCAAGTTCTACTGAACATCACGCAACTACAACCCTATCCGGACTTATCCCCGGCGAATGGCCTACAGGAGAGCTATGAAGCCCCTGACAAGGGTCCTACAGTCTAACAAAGTTCTGTATTACTGGAACTTTCCCACAGGACTACAGGCAAGCACCCCAAAAGGCCCTTTCATGGTAAAGAACCAGGAGGACATAGCAGACCTGGTTGAAGAACCAATGGCCTTTTACTCCTTTCACCCTGGGACTCAAACCGCGGCACCACAGCCCGGTAGACAGCGGAGACCCCGCGCCCAGACCATCCATCCCACCGGGGCCACTTCCTAAACCAGAGGGCTCCACGTGTGCCATGCCTAACCGCAAGTATTGATGTCTGTTCTCTTGGACTGAGGGCCCTCACCCTTCCACGCTATGAGACAATATAATATGAGACAAATTAATTAAATGTATGCCTGCATTGAGTCGGGTGGGATGGGGGGAGATGAGGAAACATGAGGCTGACGGTGTGCTACTCATTACCTAGCCCCACCTGCGGTGACTCCATCTTATGCTATCAGATGCTTCCCCGTTTGAATCTAAATAGATATGATAACCACTGCCCTCACACTATGGGTCTTTAGTAATCACCCTTGATGTATTGGGGGTAGGCAGGGCCTGTGCCCTGACTGGGCCACGCCACCAGGGCTCTAGCCATCCTCCAAGGACCTTCCAGGGAGCACTGGGTGGGTGGGGCCACGGTGGGGGACCTGGGGACAGACAGTTAGGGAGGGCGTGGCACACGGGAACAGAGGTCCCTGCTACAATCTGACATTTTAATTCTGTCAAGCACCAATATGCAAAGGTATTGTACCACACACCCAGGGACCGGAAGGAGGTGGGGACCCTGGCAACCATGGGACAGGACATATTAAGTTAGGTTCTGTTATGTTTCACTCTGTTTGTTACATGTTCTCGGGCAGCCTGACAGAGATGCACACTTTTGCCCATTGAGGCCTCCAGGCCACCATAGAAATGGATGAGTATTGAACACAAACACACACACTATCCTTAGATCGACGAAGGGGGTCGTGGGTCTTTGACGAGGTCCGGTTCGAGAGATGAGAGTGGTATTTACGGCGCCTGGAGTTGCTGAGATCTCGGGTCCCTTGGACTGGATTGGCGCTGAGGCTCCCGACCTCGTCCAATTTCCCCACAGGACAGAGCATCCAGAGATAGGTGGACAGGACCGGATGGATCACTGGCTGGCTCCGCTTAGTTCTGTCCCCCGACGCTTGCTCCTAGTCGCCACTACTGAGTGACAAGGCTTCTTTGTACATATTTCCTCTCCTTCCTTCTTCCATCCTCTCACCTCCACTACTTACCTCCCCAGCCTTACCTGACATCCTCCCACCCCGCCCTAACACTTCTGACTGAACCCCCCAAGACTTGTCTACCAGGACTGCCATAGCGCCCGTAGGGCACAGCACCACCAGAACCGAGATGCTGCTTGTACCGAGCAATCTCACCATTCTCTTCATAAATGCCAGGGGCCTTAACAAGCTGGAGAAAAGGACTGGAGCCCTGAGGGACTTCCACACACACAAAGGGACTCAAAAGTAATGATTCAGGAGACTCATTTCTGGGAAGGAGACAGGCCTAGGCTGACCAACCACCACTTTCCACTGGGGTATTACAGTGACTTCCACGGGGGAAAATCCAGGGGCACGGTGATACTGATTAGTAAGAGGGTGCTATTTCAGGAAAAGGCATGTATGGCGGACTGGGAGGGAAGATATCTCTTCTTAAAGGGCATGATCACAGACCACCCCTATACATTCGCTTCCATATACGCACCGAACGGTAAACAGTACTGCTTTTTCAAATACACCCTGCGAAAACTACAATCCTTTGCCGAAGGGGTCCTCATTGTGGAGGGTGACTTTAATATAGCAATTGACCCTACATGGGACTTCTCCATGGGCACATCTCACATCCCTGCACAACAACTCAACTCGATTAAATCCCTGTTTGCCAAACACAGTATCATTGACTGCTGGAGAGCACACCATCCCGACGAAAGGGACTACACTTTCTACGCACACCTACACCATTCATACACTCGACTGGACTACTTCCTCACGACGCAATACCAACTCCCCCTTGTGCAGAATGCTGACCTAGGGGTGGCGACTTGGTTTGGACCATGCCCCCGCCACACTTACCCTTAAATCCCCATTCCTCAGACCTGCGATCTCCAAATGGAGACTGAACGAGTACCTGTTGTCCCGCCCAGAACTGACCGACCACTTTGGGAAGGTTCTCACT